AATCGTTCGTCATATTCGTTACAATCATGTTACAATAAAATTTAAAGTAGTCAGCAATTAATTAGTCATGTGCTTCAGAAGAATTTGTCCATTACAAATAATCCACATTTTCAATTCATCCTTGCTATTGCCCACATAATTTCCTGATTCTGTGCTGCAATATAGTCCGTGGACGAAAATTAAGACATAGATCACTTACTGAAACAGTTCAACCAGTGAAAACGGTATGCTCTAATAATAATAATTTTATTGCCTATACTTACAAATTGGATTTTAATCCTTACCGTACTAATATGGGTAACTAGTGACGGAGCGATTCCTGTTCGCGCAAGTTTCTTTGAATCTTCCGGTAATTATAAATTATACTACATTTTATTATTTTTCAAAATAAAGAGTCAATACTTATTCTAGAAAGTTGAAAGTATATGTTGATGAATTTTTCGAGATTTTTAAAATTATTTTGAAGAGGTGAAAAAACGAAGATATTCTTGTGATCCTTGATAATATGGATGAGACATCAAATTGTACATAGTACGGCAAGGATTAATAATGCATAAAATTATTTAAAAAAAAGAAAGAAGAGGAAACAAAATACAATGCGCTATCAAATGAAACGACAGCGATACAGCTGATACAAGACTATAGAGAAATATTATATATGGATTAAAAAATATTTTGAGGCAAAGTATGTATAAGATAAAACAGCATTGCAAAAATCTTAAAATTTCTAAAATCCATCTCTTTTCAACTTAATTTATCATTGTCATTAATGCTGCATTAATTCTCTTCTCTAGCCAAATATTTTGTTTCAATACTAAATAACAGGAAGAGCGTACTTCGTAAAAATCGTATATATATATATTTTTTTTTTAAATACAAATTTTTAACAATGACATATTAGATAAATTGTGTAAAAATTATAAATTAATTTATGACTCACTTTGACGGTCATTTCGCAGAATTTCCGCAATGTTACATATCTGTATCAAAAAAAGGAGCAGTGATTAATATAAGTGTTAGTGTTTTAATAACAATTTATCATGTTTAAAGACAGATTTTTTGCAATAAGTTTATCATAATACGATTACAATAAAATTAGAACAGATTAACCCAATACGCGCTGAACAACGGCTGTCTATCTGAAAAGTCTTTAAGTAATCTATACGAAGCGCGAGAGGATCAAGATTCTTGTCGGACAAACATCTTGACGGGTCGTAAAGACCTATGTTATATCACCGCGGGTCTACCTCCAACTGAGTTGGGCACGATCCACGTTGTTGGACAATGTACGCGCATTGTGCGTGTACTGACATCAATCATCGACGCACAGGTGTCGTGCGACACGTCTAATGTCCATACAAATTTTGTTGCATTGTCGTTAATGTCGAAAACATATTATGCCAACGTGTATCAGCAACTTGCGGGTTACTATTGTCTCGGAGATTTACTATGTTGCACAGAAATACGTTCCACGTATTGATAAAAGGTCTGTTCGCGTTGCTTGAAATCTTTAAAAATGTTTGCACTCAGAGTAAGATAAAATGAGATAATTGGACGTTGAAAAGAAGATGCTAAGTGCAAAAAGTGCAAGCAGCGCAAACAGACTTAAAATGTTTTTTTATATTTCTTTAACGATGTGAAAAATAAAATATTGAAGGTACAAAAAATGAATTATTCCAGTCTCAACTCAAGATTATAGTTTATGTAATAATAACGATTTGCGCGCGCGAGCTTTCACTTTCTTTCCTGACCGTCTCTACTAAATCGAAGCGATAATTCATTCAACCTTACTTTGTAAGTCTACCTGCCCATCCACGAGTGATATAGCAGCATCTCGACGATAGTGAATCACCAACGCGCCGTCGATGCAGCGCTACGGCGAGTCGAGACACTTCGGCTGTCGATGACGTGACAAAAACACGCGTGCTGGCCAAGCACGCGTGTTCTCGAAATTTAAAAGAGTGTCCGACCCCCGCGGCGCGATCAACGACGTCGAACGTTTCACTGCTTCGCGATGTCAGTCGTAAGTAATGACAATACGATGACTGGACGGCCGCTAAACACCTGCATTCACCACCTTATCTCGCGGATCCCGCTGTTAGGACAGGTTTTCGCTATCGTTAACCATTCTCCGCGTATGGACGATAGTTCTCGGGCGCTTTGGGTGGTCTCACCGCCGATAATCTTGACGCGACTCTTGACGCCTCCCGCGCATCGTTTTCCATCAGCACCAGCGATCCAATCGTGACTTCGCCCCCGACCGAGCCGTTCCGCGTGCGCGGCTCTTAAATACCTGCCACTCGATAGCGATAGTGTATTTCCGAACGAAACTTCCCCGTGCGGTATACGATACATCGCCCTGTAAATCCAAGATCTTTTTCTCTCGCGCACAGGCTGGTTGCTGCTTTTCCATCAAGGCGCCGTTTCATGAAAGTTGCGACGGGACGAGCAGTGGCGAACGAGCGTAGCTCGGAGTAAAGCGAGAGGGGCTCGTAGACCCGGGATTGACGTAACTTCCCGAGGCTCGTTGAATATTTATCGCCGCTCGCCTTGTTTGTACGCCGTTCTGCCTCGCTTGAATTTAAATACCGTGCCTTTCGTACCTTCGCTCGTGCGTTTCCCTCTTCGCGAGCAACGATTCTTTCTCGCCTCGCGGGATTATTTATAGAAAGGTGATGGGAGCGTGCGGCGGCAGTCTCGTTGCTCTTCTCGTGTAAAGCGGAAAGCCGCGCGAATACGAGCGGAACACGTATCCGCAAAGTCATCACCGCTCGTCGACGCGATCTCTTTGCTCCTATATATAGAAGACGAGTGTTCGCTGCACTCAATATGTATGTATCTTTTAAATCGATTTTTTTTCTCTGACTTTCGCATTCTACAACGCATCGTTCGTAATACTGGATACATATGTATAATCAAACTCACAAAATATCTCTCTGCTCTACTTAATATATACTGACGCGAGAAAAAATTTACTAAATCTCTTAGACATATTTTTTTCAATAGTAACTAAACATTTACTTACAGTAAATAAATATTTTCTCAATAAAAAACTGATAATTAAATTAATGGTTTTTGTACCCAATAAATATATCTTTATATTTAGTAAATATTTAATACTATTCAAATATTAATGAAATTTAGTACATTTTTTTCAGTGTACAAGTGTATTCGCCTCGACTATGAATAAAATAACTCGGTGTAAGCAGACTCTATTATTATCAAGCTTGCGAGACCGATCCTTTCATTCACCGCATGATTGACATTAATTACCGGAACACAATCGGCGGCTTATCTGATCCCAACTTGATTCTCGATGGCGAGATACCGCACCAAGTTCGCCAGGACGCGTGAAGTAAGATAGGGTCGGAAGACGCTCAAAGGGAAAACCCCTCTCCGCAGCGGTCATCACCGCGAGGCGAGCAGAGCGACCGGCCGGGCCGGCCGCGGAACCTCGTCGAAGACGTCGGGAGAATCCGTGGCGAAGCGGGAGAGTACATACACGCAACGGAGTTTCTTCTCCCGCGGGAAGGCGTGGTCGGTAGACGCGCGACGTCCATTTGTCTCGGGCGCCTCCCGCACCAGGAACGCCCTCGCATCCCACGGGCATCGATCACGTCTTCCTCTTACCGGGCGCATCGCGCCGCGCCTCTATCTCTCTTTCCCCCTTTCTCTCTCTCTCTCTCTCTCTCTCTCTCTCTCTCTCTCTCTCTCTCTTCCTCTCTTTCTCTATGTACATTTTACACGCGCATACTCGCCTACACGTACACCCTCGCACGACAACGCGCACGAGCCACCCCTCGCTGGTCCCCGATGGCACCGGCGTTGCCAACTTTTCAGAATGGAATTCTGGCACAACAGGAACAAAATTCTAATATTTCAGAAGGGACATTACGGGGTACGGAGTCAAAAAACGAGAGGAACGACTGTTTAAATTCGAAACTCCCTTGCGGCGATATTGATGCGAACACGATATTTGTTCCATATGATATACACGCACTGATCGCCAAAGATTTCTCCAGATAAATATTAAATAGTTTATCCGAATTTTTATATCTGATTTGGAGCGGGCCTTTAGTTGTAAGTTATAGGTATTAGTCTGAGAGAATCATCGCTGTACGTTAGAACCTTCAGACACTCCGCCAACTAGGTCGCTTTTGTTCCGTTCACGGCCGATCGCGCTCTGGCTTTCCCTGCACTCTCTTCAAAGTCCCTCTCTTACAAAAATCCGGTTTTCCAGTCAGTAATAAAGTTATCCAGGTGTAATAAAATACGCGCACTATATCTCGATGAGAACGTATATATGTAGAAAGTTACGGGTTTGTACAATGTGATTAAAAATCTTAATGGCGCACCGTTCCGGTCGATCATAACTTCAAGATCACGATCGAATGACAAACTATAATTAAACGGTCCTTTTGTATTGTCATGATTTAAGGAACGTCAGTTTTCACTTTTCATGAAGGTTTTAAGTTTTTTTTTTTCGTAATAATATTAATGAGAGAGAATACAATACATATATAGAGCAATTCACTTGAAGTCGGAGAAAGATGATTTGGAATTCTTCGTTTCTTACATATAATAAGATCGTTATTAAAAGTGAGGAATTTCTTTAACCTTCTCAGAGATATTTATTAATATTCATTCTAATATTGTACTAAGATATATGATACACAAAAGAAAAAACGAACGCTGTACACTGCAGTATTTTTAATGTTATTAAATTCTATTATTCTCTTTTTATTTACAGATTTAAATTTACAGATTTTTATTCTACAGATTTAAATAGAATAAAACGTAACTACAAAATATTAAATGAAAAATTTAAATCATTTTATTCTACAAATTTGCTTCTTAAAATATCGAAAACAAAGTCTAAAATCGTTTTTTATGTTGCTCCATCGTATCATATTGTTGGTAGCGGGCAATAAGTTAATAAGTTAATTGTCTTTTGCAAAACCGATTGCTCCAAGTTTTGTCCTTTTGTTATTTTGTTTCAGCCGGTAAGTGTGCATGATGCCTCCTATGCCGAGGCGAACGAACGTCAAGCGTTGATCACTGGATGGCTGTCTGGTTACGCGCATGGCAACTTTCAAGTAAGCATCATCGGTTATTGTTACAGCAAGTACATACTATTACTCCATAAAAATTCTAGCATAGATAAAAGGAAGTCAGTCTGATGATTTTCTACCCACCACTACTTTGTTAGTTGCGCGAAAATCCCTCGTTTTACGCGCGACAGACATATCTATTGGTTTTCAATCTCGTGTGTCTAATAGTTTCGATCTCGTAATTTTTCACGCTCTAAGATCGCGATATCGCTCTTACTAATTTTACAAAATGCAAATATTCGCGCACGGAAATATATCAGGCTGTGAATATTCATGTTGAACGAAACGATACGGTACGTTTCGCCCATTAGCAAAATCCGTCATCCTCGATGCGTTTAAAGAAAGTAGACACGAATTTCTGTTATCGAGGGATCACGACGTTTCCGCTTTTATTTTAGTTACGAAGCATTATCGTTCCAAAAGAATTTTACAAAAGCAGAACAACGCTGATGATTCGTGAAAGATTATTTTAGATTTAGAAATATGTGAATTATCTCAAACAATTAATATAATTAAAGGATGAACGTGTAAACGCAAAATCGAGAGATATCTAACAAAGTTCTCATCCACTTTGCGATCGACGAGAGTGGAATGACCGACACTATCGCAGTCCCTTAATTTTTGGTAAGCGGGTGACGGTAATTAACGGGTGCGTCGTAACGCATGCCTACACACACCACACGCGTAAAATGTATGCGTCGGCGTCTTCTCGTCTCTTCCCCATTGCACGCGCGCGAAATGCATACCGGTAACGCGCGGCGAGGTGTTGCATATGCATGCGTCGATCGATATGAATGCATCGTTGCATGCTAAACGGCTGCGGGCCTATCTGATCTGCCATTTTCCTTTCGGCCGCGAAAGGCATCCGCGTGGCTGTGGCTGCGGCGGCGGCGGCGGCGCCGATGCGGAAACTCATCGTGTGAATCCCCGATTATCGTCCGGTCCGCCGCTTATTACCCTCTTACCGTACAATGTGCCAGATCATGTTTGGCTTTCTACCAATTCTGGCTCCTGTAAGATTCTCGGTTCATGCGATAAATCACGTTTGACTGAAGAATAGTGGATATCAACAATCATTCCCCGCGCAAATTGCGTCAGTATATCGCTGTATTAAACAGACTTAAACGTTAGGCAGTTCTATTCAGTGCGAGAGCGATTTTATCTCTGGAATTTTGAGACTCCTCGTATGTGAGAGAATAAATTTCTTCTCTATCTATCTTTTTCGCACTTTCTCCTTTTTTTAAACTGAGGCATGATTTCTAGCATAGATACATGGCAACTTTGTTGCGTTGAAACAATACGTCTGTTAGAACTTGCGTCAGATAAACTGTACATATGTCATATTCTTAATATTATCATTTACCGTCACCTGTAATAACAATAGTGCATTCATCAATAGTAATACGATTAAGAAAATGTATTCCAATGGACAATAGTGTTATTGAACGATATCCGTAATGAGTGGCAGAGTTATTGATGATAGACGCTGATGTGATCGACAATTGAGATGCTAGACCAACGCAATCGTACACCGGGCTTTTATCCAAGGGGTATCTCGTACAATTATTGAAGACATGCTACTTTATGACGGAGGGTATCTATTCAAAAGATCGATACCTAATTAGGTCGACCCTCGTGAGGATACGATGGCCATGTATTCCTCTCGTATCGCATCTAATTATCACAGAAATTGACCGACGCCATTGACACATACGAAGATCCGCGGTCTGATCGCAATGGAAGCTGCCTTGCATGTTCGTCACTGTATTTAATCGCTAATAAAGGTCACTAGCAACGATAAAAAGCACTCAACACAAACCATCTACATATGTACACTAGGAAAAAAATTAGTGCTTTCAGTAAAACTGGCATTTCTTAACAGCAATAAAGTACTTTGTTTATATGTATAACAAATAAATTTAGTTTTTTCTGCTCAATACATTTTTCAGATTTACAAATTATAAAAATAATTATTTATATCAACTAAACGATTAATAGATATAACCAAACGTTTTTGTTCGATGTGGTTTAACCAAATACTTTGTTGCTACAACAAAATTTTAGTTTATAGAATAAAATTTTTTCGAGTGTAACAAGTTATACTGTTTTGTTCTATGAGACTTAAAATGAACCGAACAAAATTGTTTGGTTAAAATATATCAAACAAAAATATTTATTTATACTAATTAAACCATTTAGTTAGTATAGACAAATGTTTTAGTTATTTAAAAAACTAAAAATATTAAGCAGAAGCAATTAAATTTTTTGTCGTATAAAATATTTGATTGCTGCTGAAAAATGCTTTAACTAAACAGTTTTTTTTTAAAACACTAAATTTTTTCCTAGTATTATACATATACTTGATTACTAATTCCTTTATTTACCGTCCATATGAACGTTGACTCTGACACTTATTATAATAACGTAGAAAGGACGATGTAATATGATCGATGTATTGCTACTGGCTGATGTAACATGTTACAGTATATTCGATGTATACCAATGGCTATACGGATCATTTAATGTTACAAAGCTTCGAAGCATTTTTTGATTGGTTAAATATTGAGATACTTTCTTTCGATTGATCAATCAAATGCTTCGAAACATTTATAATGCCAAATAGACTGCATCCTATGTAACGTATAGATGCACACCACATACAGTTCAGGCATTCAAAGGATGTTCTTAAAACATCCAGAGGACATTTTATGTTTTAAATCGTCCTCAGGACGTCCCTAGAATAAAGTGTGCTGTGTGAGACATGTATGGTCTCCTTTGCTTCACGCTTGCACATAAATTCTGTACATACTTTTTTGAGCCATGTATTTAAAGCAAGTTAATGATAAAGTAAAATGGCTCAGCCTGTAGAATTTGATTCAATCTTTCATGTATCTTTTATGTATTGGTTCTAACGTCTCATATTTTTTTCTTTTGCACACAAAACGGTGAATAGCTAAACGCCACCCTTTTCAGGTGCCTACGAACGAGAGGATCTTGAAAGCTCATTCGAGGGTTCCCACGTACAAAACGTGAGAGTAATTTTTTAATTGTTACGCGGCTTTTCTGCCGCTTTTAATAACACCTTGGCGTCCGAGTTGCCTATTACGACGAGTGCAAGACTATCTCGTTTTGGCCCGAAGGGTCCAAATCTCCCTCGAACTGACTTGAGCACTCAGACGCGCTCGATTTTTTAAGTGACGAGGGTACTCGGTCATATATCTCCCTCGTAGGTCCGCGAAAGTTTCGACGTTTGCACAGCCCACGAAATTACACGTTGTGAGGCACAGGGTTGCAGTGATGTTTTTCATCATTACGAATATGCGTTCTCTTTCTGCCAATCGTACAGTTAATGGTGGAACTTGTACGAGGAAGGGCGCGCGTTACGTTAAAATAGTCTATTAAAAGTCAACATTTCATTCTCGCAACCGCAATATACCTAGCCGATAGGCTGGATCCGTCTCTCGTATATCTGGCGATGAAAGTACAAACTAAATCAGAAACGAGATTAATGGATAATAATTTCCTCTCTCCGTATTTAAATAGCTTGCCCCACGTATCGTTCTCATTATCAATCATCGGCGTCGGCTCGCGCCGAGGACCTTAAAAGCCACGGAGTTCAAGGAGGACGACCTCGAGAAGCGTTATCGTAGCTGGCTTGTCGCGCTAACGACTGGTAATATCCCCGCGACGGGGCTCGCGTCGTATCCCACCGTCATCTTTACATCTCGCGCATTTCCATACAAGAGTAGGGCCATTTGAATATCCCCCCCGTGCGCATCGCCCCGCACGACGTCCCTCGCGTTCTTCTCGCTCGAAACCAGACGGCGCGTATTCGCTCCGGCGAATTATATAGCCAACGTCGAAGCGTGGCGATCTGATATCGACCTCGGTCGCCGAAGACGTAACGGGATGATGCGCGGGGAGAGAACGGGACGAGGAGCGTGATGACTGGCGAAAACGTATTAAAATCCATCGCGAGCCTACGCGACCGAACGATTCGTCGTCCTTCCGCTCGTTTACGCGCAACTGCGATTATACCTGAGATTCACAATTTCATATAATTGAATTTTCGCACGAAATTACTATTTCTGAACGTTAAACAATACTTTGATAATCAATTGTTGCACAATATTATGGTCTCGAGACTATATTGTGCTTCCAGACTGTTAATTTGAATTAATTAAAGTAGCTCCTAGACGTTCAATATTACAATTATTTTGTACAATGTTATAGATGTCTTCTTTTAACAATTTAAAACAAACAACCTGATGGTTCAATATAGCCTCCAGGCGATCAATAGATAATAATGTGATATCAAGTAATGTGTAATAATATTGATCGTCTAAGAGCTAAAAATGAGCGTCAATCGTCATAAATTGGCATCTTATTGCGCAATAGCATGTACTTACAGATAGACCAATATTTTCAAATTGCACAATATATTTCAAACAACTTTTGATTGACAAAGTATACTGTATAAACCTTTAATATTATCTCCAAACGATCAATAATATTGTACAATTTCAAATATTGTTCAATAATATTAATCATAATAATAATTTAGGAGCCGCTTAAAGAGGGCACTAATAATAATATACTAATAGTACAAAATAGTTGTAAATTATGCTATAGACAATGCACTCATATACTATATTTGAAATATAAGAATGAATAAGACCTAGAGACAAGCAAAAATTAAAGTGGTCACTTACTAAACATCTTTTATTATTTAATAAAAAAAAGATAATAGGACGTTTCAACTTAGTTAGCCACCTTTAGCCATCTTAATAAATTAATCTATCAAAGATAACACGCAAAAAATCTTAAACTAACATTTAAAGACACTAATCGCAAATAACACAAAGCGCATCGCAGTTTTACAAACTATAATT